AGTGCTGATTTACTACGTGCTCGTCAAGGAAGGAAAACATCGTAAGAAAAACAGCATGTCTGAGAAATAAGAAGAAAAAATTATTTCGAAGAGATGTGAAGTTCGCCAACACGCATTGGGGCAGCGCGGCGGATAACGCCTTGCCCTAAAACCCTCTCTGAAATGAGCGAAGGCCCGTGTTCAGGAATGGGACGTATTTATAGGCTGTAGCTTTAATCTTTAATGAATATGTATGGACTAATGAATAATTGATAATGAAAAGTTTCAATTATTTAATTTTCATTAAATTTATTCATTTTAACACTATAGATATATCATTTTTGACATGAAAAATAAAAAAAAATATTGTGTGTCAAATGGAATTGTTTCTTAAAATCTATACTCGAAATATTATGTAGATCATTGCCTCGTTATTTTAGTTGTATTTATTTCGATGTTAAACTTGAGGCTCCGGGCAACCCATGCTAGCGTAAACTAGAAGCTTATGGTATCAAATGCTATGCAGATCAAGTGTTTGTATGAACTACAAACAATTTTCCTGGGTCCGGATGTTTGTGCATGATCAATATATGTAAAACGCTATATAAAGTAACCCTTCTATGCTAGTAACAGAAATAGTTTTGATTCTTAAAAGGATACATATAGAGTCCATGGGATAAAGTATCCACTTTCCACTCACAGGTGGACTGTGTGCTCCTTCACCCATACTCTTATAAAAATAATACAATGTCTTAATGCCGGGGTAGCTCAGGGTTCAAGTGCTTGCTGTTTTGAAGCAACCAGGGTTCGATTCTCGCGGCGACCAATTAAATTGTTATTTACAATTTTAAGTGCTGATTTACCTAATGTTCGGTGGTAAAATAGAACATCGCGAGGAAACCCTCTCAAAAATGAGAGATCTTTGCCCAGCTGTGAGACTATAAAGGCTATAACTTTACTTATAATTTTATAGTGCTGAAAATGTAGTCATGGGCCCTTGACCTCAAATCACATCCAAACCAATTTTTTATCTATAAACTACTCATAGATATTGAAATTATAATTATTTACATCTGGTGACGTAGCTGACGCTCGAAAGGAAATCGTCTCATGTTTCAAGACATAAATTTGTATTCCACCTAGTATATTTCTTTCGTTAGGGATAAATATTTCTTCGAAATGCAATTTCATAACTGATAGTATTGGCAGTTCCTTACACCCATCCATATCACTATCACAAATGTGAAACGCGCTTTCCACACTGGACATCACGGTAAATTGCCAACGGATTTCAGAACTGGCAATTACGGGTTGCTTTAGTATCCCATGACCAATTACTGTATAGCTGTAAAAATATTTTCAGGATTAAGAGAATACGATACATTCAAATTTTATTTTAATATAATATTTTTATAATTAATCACTAAAGATTGGTCTCAAAGTCTTCGTACCTTTGACTTTTGGTTTTCGTCAAAAAGAAAAACGTTATATTTTTATAAACAGTTTCGAAAATATTTTAAGATGTGTTAGCACACCTACCTATGCATATTATGTTATTTTAATTTCCTCCCATTAAATCATTTTTAACATTATAACACTTAAAACATTCTAAACATTTTATGACATGGTAAAAAATAAAAATTATAAAATATACTGACCAATAAAACAGATATGTATTGGAAATTATGCTTTCAACTTAGTTGTGACAACGCATCTGTTCTTAATAGAAGATAAATGAAGATGTATATGGACCACAGCATTCACTATCAAATGGACTGTGTGTTCGTTTGCCCCCTATTCTATTCTATATAAAATTAAGATACTACCTGTAAGTACCAAAATTTGATATATATGGTTAGGACTTTAGAACCGATATATATTCTATAAAAAGTGCCAAAAATAATATTGTTGCCGTTACTTGGCAGTATAAAAATTAAAAATACACAGACCAGGAATAGTGTCAATAATCTAACGAGTCAATTACGATTCCACCGACAATATGAAATATCCACTTCCTCCAACCGACTGTTACGAAATAATGAAATCCAAAAATGTTACAACATACAAGATGTTCTTATTTTAAAACTCACCCATCAATATTTGGACTAAAATCAAATGTCAAATGAGCCGTGTAGGCTTGCGGAAGCAGCGTTTTGGTATCATTGTTGTAAACTTCAAACGTAGAATTCACTTTATTTATTCCAATAGTGCTTTGTAAATCAAAGTGAATTTTCACAGGAGCGTGGCAAAAGAATACTCCTTGAAAGTATGGAACCCAAGTGCATTGCGACGTCACAGGCGAGATGCCATTGTATCGTTTCAATCCAGATGTACCAGCTAATGCCGATGAGACAGAGTAAGCGCTCTTAGCTCCAGGAAACATGTAGAAAAATTCATTCATTAATGCAGATAATGTTTCTTGATTTTCAAATACATTTTCCGTTAACTATAACAAATGGAAGCTATTAACGTTCCAAGCTGTGGCAGGGATCGACTTACATTTCAATAACAAGTAATTAATCCATTTTCTTTAACAACTCGTTAATCCTTAAGCAAATCAGTATGGATTTTATGGTGTAATTATATATAAATAACAGTACACACTAGTACCACAGCCTAAGATAGACTGTGCCAGTACTGATACGTGGTAGATCAGATGGTTAGCGCTCGTTTTAAATTTCACAGTACGTCAGCAACCAGGGTTCGATCCCCGCCAGCACCAATGAAATTGTTATTCGCAATTATAAGTGCTAATTTACCACGTGCTCGGCGGTGAAGGAAAACATCGTGAGGAAACCTGCATGTCTGAGAAATAAGAAAAAAAATAATTCGATGACATTTGAAGTAGGCCAACACGCATTGGGACAACGCAGCGAACACTTCCTTGTCCTAAAACCCTCTCAGAAATGAGGCCTGTGCCCAGTAGTGGTATAGGCTGTGACTTTAACATTAATGTTTTAATCGACTCCAAACTCTTTAATAATTAAACTTAAAAAAACTGAAAACCAAATTTAAACAAGAGAAACTTAATAGCATCTGAAATATGAGCTAAGACAAATGAATTAAAGCTCTGATATCATATGCTCTTAAATTATAGGTAAATTATTTTATACATTTGTAAATCTTAGTATTTTTCAGTCGCCTTTTCAGATGAAGTAAAAAGGTAGATATCGCACCTAAAATAAGAAAGTGTAACCAATTTTATAACTATGTATGAGTCAGAGAAATGTTGCCACTTTTTTTTTAAATGGCCCTGAAAATTGAGATAAATACTACAAATATAATAGTAACTTAAATTTTTGGCGCTTAGTATATTTTATAAAATATGATGCAGTCGCATGTTCAATTATTTTTCGATTACTAATCGTATTAAATTTACTTATTTCCATGACCAGCGTAATCGTGGTAATTTTACAAGTTATTAAAAGTGCTATTGTTACTCGTAAAAAATCCTAAAATTTGTGTGTCTATATAGATGTGCTAGTTTTCCCTCACTAAATTTATATTCAACATGGATAATTTTCTTAAAACGATTACACAAGTTGCATATATATTGAAAACATCTTGAAAGGGAAAATACAATCCACCTTTGTTAACTTAATTAACTCATAATTAACTTGGAGATCATGTTTTTCTTTAGACAGTTTTCATATTTTAATATTTTAGAAATATAGCGTGCAGTACTACCAGCGATATAACTTTTTAATTCACTTTTTAAAATCATCGAACTCTGCAACATGCAGAGTGCTAGCAAGTTCTGTTAGCACTCTGCATGTTCTGTATCTTCTTTTATTTTACGGAGAAACTCTAGTAAAGCTAGTTCTTGATGTATTTGCAAATATTCCTGTTCTTCGTGCCAGTAAGAGGTCGAGGTTGAATGAAGCAGTGGAAGATATACAATTTAAAATTACTACATCTTCTAACAGGACACAGTTTCTAGTGGACAAGCATTTTAATTCAGGATGGCTAAGTAGTTTTCTATACGCGCTCTTTAACTGGAGTATATTTGGGTTGTCATTAAACCCGCCTTGCATTTTAATAGAAGAAAACACAATTTCTTAGTGGTCCTACCTAATCCTGTAGAAATGTCCCATGATCCCATAGCTGGGATCTGCCTCCTATGGGCACCACAGATGATGGAATAAAAGTTGCATACCCTCAAGAACCAAATCAGCGACAGAATCAGCATCAACGCTGGGATCGTCCGGCGAGAAATAAACCCGCCTCCAAGAACATAATGCAAAAAAAGACCGCATCTTATCCCAACTGGCCGACCTTTAGTGCCAAACACAGCGGCAACATGCAAGAATGCAACTGTGACGTTAGTGTGAATGGCAACACACTCGGGATAAGACAATGGCCCGACGATCATAGCGGGGCGTTGACGGAAACCTGATATCCTCTATATGAGAGATCAGCAGAAGGTCTAACAGGGAAGGTGCGTGATCCACCACATCTGGAATCCGAGCCATGACAAAATCATGAACAGATCTTTTGAGAATTTATGTCAAATAAGTTACGTTTGTCATTATTATTAAAATTATAATATGTCAAATTTAAATTATTATCAAAAAATAAAAAATATTCATAGATTAAAATAGTGTCTTGGTTTATTATCCTGTGGCAATCCCTGAATATAAGCCCGTGTAAACAAAAAAAATTGTGTACATTTAGATTATTAACATACTGAATGTATTGTAATCACTGTGTCCTGTTACACCGTCTATTCTTTTAACGATTACTGTACTGTTAGGACAAAATTTACTATGTAACCAGAATTTTATAATATTGAAGTTGACGAAGTGCAGTAATTAGTAATTTTTATCCCCTTAAAATTTTATTCATACTAATTTATTATATTTTAACTTTTTGGTATGTCGACGTGGTGTGAAACTTACAAATATTGTTAAATGTTATGTAACTTAAAAATAAAAACAATGAATGAGTTTTTATAAGAAAAGAATCTTAGTTTGAACTTACTAAGATAAGGCTAAAACATGTTGCGATAAAAATTTACTCACATATTTCGTAATCTCAAGCGTGAGGGTTACACGCGAGTCTAGACATCTCCTCGTTCTGATTCCTCTCCAGTGCGCTTGTATACATGTCGCCGCTTCATGTCTTTTTATTATTTCATCTCTTATACTCTTTAGAACTCCATATGGTAATTTTACTGAAGCAGCATCACATACGCTTGGTTGTAGTTTGTTTTTAGTATACTCATCAAAGCTTTTGTTATCTATGTCCTAAAATATTTAATTTCAAGTAGTATCTTAGCGGTGGATTTTTTTGCACTCTTTCCATAGTAATTGCAATAAAACGATAGTAAATTTCATTGAGCTAGTATCAGTATACAATGAGAATATGATATTTAAAACTTATTTGATAATGACGCTTTCATAATTGCATTGCCAGTGGAATGAATATACAATTATAAGTGATATGATAACGATTCTTTGATAACTAATTGTTTTATTTTATTTATATATTCATTGCAGTCTATCAAAATTCTACTGCTGAACATGGATCTTCAAAAATGCTTCAACGGCGATAAATTTTCCATATTTACCATGCTTGGCAGGCGGATTGGCAGCCGCATATTTTAGTGTTGTTACAATTAAAATACTACTGCCTTTCTCCTGTTTAATTTCCACCAGTCATCTCTTACGATACCCACAGGATGATAAAATGGAGTGGTAGATTCTCTTACTCTGCCAAAGTTCGGTTAAGCATAGTATGTGCCATCAAGTTCATTTATATAATTTGAAAATGTATCTAATAAAATGTATCTATGCAATGGAATATTTTTATCTAATTTTATCTGAACTTATTATTTAGTTTATATATATATATATATATATATATATATATATATTTTGAAAAAATATATACGAATTTCGATTTGCAATCTGGGGTTTATTAAGTATCTCATATATATAATCGAAATTCGTATATATTTTTTTCTTCCGATTTTCTCACTCGGCTGTGTACAGTCATTTACAGAAACATAATAAAAACTGGCCCACGATACTTAGTAGATATTACCTATAAATAAACATATTTCTTGTTTGAAAAGTGAACTCTGAAATTAAAAGATGCCTCACAGTATTACCAATTCATTGGAATCTTGGCATAAAATAATTTAAAATGAAATTAAAGACAAACATCCAACAGTAACGTTTTTGGAATGTTTGCAACACATTTTGAAAACGATTGCAAATATACATTAAGAGATAAGATTTTATCCAAGATATTAAATTATTGCTACTCAATAATGAAATTAGTTTTAGAAATTGTCTGGACATATTGCAGAATTTATAAATAACGTAATAAAATTATTTAAAACGTAGAAGTTCAATTTGATTTAAATCCAATACTTAATGCATGGACTCTAATAGGCTGTAGCGGTTACGGAAACGGAAATACGTAATAAGTTTTTGATTAAGTTTATGGTTATTAAATATTAATTAATAATTAAAGTGTATGTGTTGAACTGTACTTAGGGTAAAAAGTCGAAAGAAAAAATAAAATAAAAGATGAACACGCGTTTCCGCGTATTCACCCTAGGGTGGATTTTCTAAGTTGGATAAACGGAATAACCCATCACAGCACATGATCAACGCGTGTAATATAGGTTTTCTTAAACTTTAATATTATTTATACTCATAATATCACTAACCGTATCATTATAGTGGATTCTATAAACTTCTAATTCTTCTGCTTCTGACACAGGGCAGTTACAGAGGTCGTTAATACACAAATTTTTGGGGGACATTGAAGACAATCGCTTTTTGGATAAACCAAAATCTGGATCATTAAAGTAATTTTGGAGAATTGCACAAACTGACCGATATTCAAATGGCGCCAATTTTTTCTCTAGAGTAGACTGTAGCGCTTGTCGAAACATCCAGTGTACATGACTCTTACTAAAACCGACCTCTTTTGAATTCCAGTCTAAATCAGGTTTATACGACCTGAAGGTAAAAATGATTACTTAATTAGCTTGGCAAACGTTGTTCTGTCCTTTTTGGTAGATGGTGCATTGACAACCCTAAATCTGGAGTCTGGAGCAAGACTTTTACAGTGTAAATATAACATGTCATAGCGCCCCAACTATCGGCCACAGATTTAATTAATTTTTTTGTAACTAAAATATATGATAATGAGTGGGATCTATATACAACATGTAACAAAAACCCTGTGGTTTCCGTTAACTGCGTTATCAGAATCAGTATCCAAGCATATAGAAATAATTTTTTTCAAAAAAAAAAAAAACACATTAAAAAAATTAATTTGCAAATTGTATGTGGTTTTATTATCTCTGCATTGGCCGAGGAGTAAGAGGATTGTCAAAGACCCCGCATTACCAATACTCGTGTGAGTTAGAGGAAATAAAACCACATACAATTTGCAAATTCATTTTTTTTCATAATTTTTTTAAATGGGTTTTTTGAAAAAAAAAAATGTTTCTCCACGCTTTGATACTGATTCTGGTAACACACTTAACGGGACGGCACAGGGTTTTGTTATATGTTATATAATATCCGAAGACCTGCATATAATATGGCGTTATCTACATGTAAGATAATAAAAGACCATTTATTTTATATTTTTTATTAATAAAGAATAATGTTCTAGCTTTTATAAACCCAGAACAGTTATGAACCACCGCCTTGGCAAAACAAACATTGCGTCAATATGACCTTAATCGTTTAATTTGAAAAGAAGTTACAAGAACTCGAACAGCCACTCCAATAATTATATACAACATGCAACAAATTCCGTTAAGTACGTTATCAGAATCAGTAACCCATCGTATAGAAATAACTTTACTTCAGAAAACTCTACTATAAAAAAATATTATTTTAAATTAATTTTATTTACAAATTGTGTGATTTTACTACCTCTAAATTAGCCAGGAATTAAAGAGTATTGTCAAAGACCCCGCTTTACCGAAGCACTATCAGTTAGAGGTTTGCAAATAAAATTCGGTAAAAAAAATTTACGGTCTTATTTTCTGAAGTAAAGTTATTTCAACAGGTTTCAAAACTGATTCTGATAACGTAACTAACGGGGACCACAGGGTTTTTGTAACATGTTGTATATAAGTATTGTTCTATCTACATAGCACTCAATTATTCATCTATATGGAGTTGCCAGTTCTCCGATCAATAATGGATCAAGAGTAAGCTGATTAAGCTTATTTGAGTGAAATATTTTTTACTATGGCATTGTTTTAATATAGTAAAATATTGCACGAATTTGCAAGAACTACAATTATTGTTTAATGGTCCTTCGACACTATTTCCCTGCTTTTGAAACGATCTCAAAAATAGGGGAAGGCTTATACAAAGTTGTGGTATTGCATCTGTGCTATATATCATATCGCATAGTGGTCACTACCCCATATCTTCCCGTGAGTTTCGTAAATGGCAATAAAGGGATACAAACTAGGAGATGGGTAGCCACGCTTGGCAAGTAGGTTGGCAACCGCAGCTGTTTAGAATTTGCCTCCTGTTTCAGTTTTCCTCTGTCCTTCTTACAACACCCACGGACGGTATAAAGTAGTGGATATTCTTACAACGCCACTACACGATTTTTTTTTACATTGTAAGTAATTTGCTTACTAAGATTGTGTCTAATTACTAAAAATTAACTTCGAATTATGGCATATTACGTTGTAGATTAATGATCTTACCTATAAAATTCTCGGCCTGCGGACGATAAAAACGTGGTTGATTTATTGGCCCGGATGAATTTCTGAAATGCAGCACCAAGGTTGGTTAAAAACCTTGACGCCCAGGAACATTCTCGTATAGCAGCCATTTGGATAACATCACGGGTGCCGACATGTATTGTTGACTCGCTGAGTAGCATGACATACCACGGAACTCTTGAATGGATCCACAACCTATCAAAGACGAAAAAATTAATTTTTGAACTAAAATGACTTTTTTTCACAACAGCCATCACAAGTCAACCGCTGAACTTAGGTCTCATATATTACCTACCACAAATTAAGGTCCTGAGCTACCTGCAACTATCGAATATATATGGGTTTTATCAGGTCATCACTCGTTGTCGGTTCTGCGAGCAATATGGCCGGCTCATTTCAGCTTACTATTCACTTCAGCTAACTAATCAGCTGGAATGTGTTACGCTGTTTTCCTGAGGATATCCACGTTACGGATTTATATTCTGCAGAGTATTTCTGAGTATAACCCTTTCCATCGCTTGCTTATTCACTGAGCTTTTTGATACGGCCAGCAGTAAAGAACCACGTTTTAGTTTCGAAAACCATCACTGGCAAAACGCACTAGTTGTAATACACTCTTTCTTATTTCATATTTATTTTATGCTAATAAACTACAGCATATATCTACGACACAAATGGTTGAGTAAAGGCTGAGTAGAGACTAACTTAGATGGACTATACTCGTTATCAGTTAGTAAAAGGGATCGCAATATCTCGTCATTCAGGTACAAATTACGCCGTTATTTTACGATTGCTATTTTGTGTGATTGTTCTCAGTCTAGCCAACTTGTAGCTATGTCACGCATAATTTTAGATAATAAATTCAAACATAAACCTGCAAAAATGTCTTCCTGGCTTAAATGACACCTCCATTGCATCGTATCCTCGAGTCTGCAAGTAAGCTTTTGATTTTGGAAGTTCACAATCAGTGAACCATTGAAATACTTCGACTAAAACGTATCCCGGCTCCACGTAGTCGTCTATTGGTTGATTTGCGTTTAAAAAGACTCGCGGGTGGAGCATGCTGCAGGAAATTTTTAAATAAATTTCTTCTGGGGCGTCAATTTGAAGATAGAGTGGTGCGTTCTTTGGAGGCGGAATGTCAAGCTCCTTTTTTGGCGATAATTTTGTAATTCTAATCGGAGGATTACTGGCTATTGAGCAAAATTGATACATTGATGGAAAACAAAGTGTACTTATGCTTTTCATTAGTTTCTGTATCTGAAATTCAAATGATTTCACACATTTCACATTCGTTAGATAAAAATAAATTTTATATAAAATAATTTATATTGCGTTTAGTAGACTAAAGGATATCTTTTTACGTCTACACATCTTTTCCTATTCCTCAAGACATTAAAAAAGCATGTACAACCACTGTGTGTTGCCAAAGAAAACATATGGATCTGAGATGTGGTCTTTCAATGTTGGTCGTATGAAGAAGCTCGAGGTCGCTCAACGAGACAGCTACGTTTTTAATATTGCGTTTAGTAGACTAAAGGATATTTTTTTACGTCTACACTTCTTTTCCTATTCCTCAAGACATTAAAAAAGCATGTACAACCAGTGCATGTTGCCAGTGATAACATATGGATCTGAGATGTGGTCTTTCAATGTTGGTCGTATGAAGAAGCTCGAGGTCACTCAACGAGACAGCTATGTTTTTAATATTGCGTTTAGTAGACTAAAGGATATTTTTTACGTCTACACTTCTTTTCCTATTCCTTAGGATATTAAAAAAGCATGTACAACCAGTGCGTGTTGCTAGTTATAACATATGGATCTGAGATGTGGTCTTTCAGTGTTGGTCGTATGAGGAAGCTCGCAATCGCTCAACGAGAAAGCTATGTTTTTTTATAGGATAAGGGTGACAAACGTGCACATAGTGTACCTGATGGTAAGTGGTTGCTGTGGCCCATAGACATCTACGCCTATCCTCGACTAAGAATGCGGATGCATTATAACCCCACCTGACTAAGATGGGATGTCTAGTCTACAGTTCTCTACGCTCATCATACGAAATAGCAGTAAAGTTAAGCTGATATTTTACACTGGTATTCTGTGAGAGCGTGGTCCTTCCCCGGCCGAGCCGACCCATTTGTGCTACAACTATACCAGCACTTCTTCAACTGTTTCAGCATTCCTCTACCACTTAAAAAGAGAGATTCTCTGCGCAATACAATCTGTAACGATGATATTCTTAGTAAAACTAGCAAAAACGACTAGCCAAAAGAATCAGTAAGCTGAAGTGGCATTAAGCCGGCCATAAAGGTCGGAAGCCGGACAACCAATAGGTAGAAAATGTTTTATCAGTTGCAATCTTGTACCGGTAAGCAGAGTGTACAAAACTCCAGCTATCCTCTGAGGTAAAATATTTAGGTCTTACTTTGGACAGCAAACTTAACTGGAATAAAAACATAGAAAACAAAATCAACAAAGCTAGTATAACTTTCTGGCAATGCAGAAACATGATTGGCAAAAGATGGGGACTGACGCCAAAAATCATACTGTGGCTTTACAAAACTGTAATCCGGCCCATGATCACATACGGCGCTCTAGTATGGTGGACCAAGACCAATGAAGCCACCACAATTAAGAAGCTTCAGCGCTACCAGAGACTGGCATGTATGGCTGCCACAGGCTGCATAAGAACTACGCCAACAGCAGCCTTGGAAGCGATGCTGGAGCTAACTCCGCTTCATCTACATATACAACAAGAAGCGACTTTAGCTGCCATCAGACTCAAGACCCTAAATCTTTGGAGTAAGAATAGTGTCCCTCATACAGGCATAATTGATAGAATTTACTCAGAAATTCCTATCCTACAAGCCAAATACGATAGGATTCCTAAACAATTTGTTTTCGATAAGAAATACAAGATACAATTAAATGAAAACAGCCAGCCGGAAGGATTAAGCCCAAAAGAGCTTAGAATTTTCACCGATGGTTCTAAAACAAAGGGAGGTGTAGGTTCTGGAGCTTTCTCTGAAGACCTCAATATTCACATATGCACACCGCTGGGTACCTATAACACGGTCTTTCAGGCGGAATGTATGGGTATCATTCAAGCGGCCATAGCAATAGATGCTAGGAAGGTTAATGACTTCCCCATCAGAATACTGACCGACAGTAGGGCGGTACTACAAGCTCTGAGTTGCAATGGGGTGAACTCGGGACTAATATATGAATGCCATCAACGATTAAATGAGGTATGTAAAAACAACAATGTAACTCTGCTGTGGATAAAGGCACACAGTGGATCCAGAGGCAACGATGCAGCAGACGAACTGATTAGAAGAGGATTGGCTCTGGCCACCATGGGCCAGAACCAATCATACCAATCCCCTTTGGTAACGTTCGTTCACTGGTACGTAGAAACTTCACTAACCAACACGCTCAGCTTTGGAAAAATCTAATAGACTGTAGACAAGCTAGGGAGGCCCTACCTGTAATAAACAGTCGCTTAACCAAAGTTCTAATGAGACTGAACAAGCCGCAGATCAGGATAGTAACTAGTGCTATCACAGGACATGGCACCTTTAACAAACATTTATTTACTATAGGTGTTACAGATAGTCCCCTGTACAGGGCTTGTATGGGGGAGGAAGAAACGGCGGCCCACGTGCTACTGAAATGTCCGGAGGTCGCTACATACAGGGCTAAACATCTCGGCACGCCGGGATCACTCCCCCGAAGTTGCATGCAACATCAAGGGACTGTTGAGCTTCTTCGGGGGAGATCTCATGGCTCGAATAATCACATTATTCCTGCCCACACGCAAAATACGCGCAGAGACGTGGAGTTGCGGAAAACAGCCCGTTGCAAACTAAACTAAACTAAACTAAGCAGAGTGTATGACAGCCTTCCTACTAGTTGGAAATACGACTGACGCAAATTATCTCCCCGAATGCCGGCGACATATCGTAATTTAGAGTCCATTATTTACCACAAATCCTGTACAGTACTGCAATAGATTATTATTTGGGATATTATCACAGATATTGAGATTATTAGTATTTTTTCTCTTTCCACTCTGTTTCACGAAATTCCTTCAAGACTACTGCTTCATTATCATTACAGCCCATCTTCCCGTAAAATTCACGGCTAAACATTGGCCTCCCTCACGAAATGCCACAAAACACTGCCCAGATCCACCTCTATTATCAGATCGTCACACTATCGAGAGCGTCGAGGCGAGAGTATCTTATATTAATTTCATATCACACGTTCGTTATTTGCAATTTAAGTACTTATTTAAAACGTGTCCATCAAATGCTAAATCAAAATTCCGGTGTGCTGCATATCTGAGGAACAATATAATTTGACAATATGTGCATACACGCACTGGAGTAGCGAAGCGTACAAATTGCTCTTTATTCCTCTCATAAAGGGATGTCTGTGCGCAGCTGTGAGACGTATATTCTGTGACTTACTGCCTCGTTGATCTAGTAGCCGTAATCACTATTGCTGATCATGAGGTTTTGAAATTGAATCCCAGGTCGGGCCAAAAATCAATTATTAGATTTTTCTCTCAAGAAATTCTGAGAAGCAGTCTGGAGTCAGGAAGAAGGCGGTTTTACCCCTGTAGGTAAGCAAGCACAGTCGTGGGTAATGTGCCTGATCTCTCACTCGATTACAGACCCATCGGAGTATGAGTGTGAGAAAAAAGAGAGTGCACCTGTGCTTGCTAATACACTTGGGCATTGCATTTTTAATCTTAGGAGCATCTGCATTTTGATTCTCGGGGATGAATGTAGATGCCTATAAGTCACAGCATCAACTTACCATCAGATATACTGTATGCTAGTGTGTCATCTTTATTTTATATAAAAATTATTGTTAAGACAGGTTCAAAAATATTGTAAAAATATTATGACGGTTCTATTTTCGCCATGTATGTTTTTTGTTATGTATGTTCAAGGATTTTTTGGAAATGGCTAAACCGATTTAAATATTTCTTAGAATAAAATTCTTTTTCTTCTTTCGAATAAAAATCTTACTCTTTTTTATTAAATAATTTATCAGGGATGGTCCCGCATAAATTTGAAGAAAATATTTTATCCTCCAGGGTAGAAAATAGGGTCTCAAAATTGAATGGAATATTTAGACGAAATTGTAAGTTGGGTTTTCTTGGCTTTTATTGGAATTCGTTGGATTAGTGATCGTATGCGCAACTGCTGATCATGTCATCCCAGGTTCGAATCCCGGGTTGCACCAAAATCACTTTTTGGGCTTTTTTGTCATTAAATTCTCAGCAGCAGACGCGGATTAAGAAGTTGGTAGTATTTACCCCGTATCTCGAAAATCATGTAAACCGTTGGTCCTGATTTCTACGGTCGAGTCATATTGCCGTCCCATCTTAGTATAAGAGTGAAAATAGAGAATAGACCTGTATTTGCGCCCACAATTGAGCATTATAATCCTGTCCTGGCTAGTCTCCGTTAAGATTGGCCGCAGTGAAATACTATCTAGAGGAATAACATTCCTTAGATCAATCTAAAGGTAAAAAGAATAAAGTTATTTTCACATAATAAGTCAAAACTAAGCAACCTATTTCGAAAAATCCCAGCATTGAATCTTCTACACACTGCATATATTTGACAAAGACTTCATTTATTTTCTTATTTCTATCTTTAATAAACTTTACCACATTAGGATTTTCCCCTGTATCGTGGGTGTAGTTAACATACATACATTTCACAACGAGAAACTTCCATTATTTATAGGCCATACAAATAATTGTTCTGTGTGGGATTCGAACCCGCCCTTAGCGCTGCAATTCTAGATAAGCCACTACACCACGAAGCCTTCAACTTCAGACACTATTATGTGGAAATCCTTTTATTATTTTAGTTTTTGAACTAGTTTTCCTTTTTATTAGAAGTTTCATTTTCTTTGTGTTAAAATACACTTATGTATTAAAACTATTTCTGGATTTTTTTTCAGAAACGTGTATCTCTTTAAAAGCAGAATTTAAAAATAATCTTATTCGAATCTTACCGCATCGAATTGAACCCACTCCCGTAATTCTTCCTTCAATCGTGATATTTCTGATTGATTAGTTGTAACTGAAGGATTTTTATCTTTAACAGCTTTCTTTATCTGCATTTAACAAGGAATCATTAAACTATTAAACTAACTAGAATAACTTTTATGTTTTACATTTGAGTTTAAACAATCTTACCACAGGTGTTGTTCGTCCATGTACTTCTTTATAATGGAATTTAATCTGGAAATAATCAGAATAATAATTAGATGGTCAAAAAATTTTTTGGTATTTTTATTCTTAATCAAGATAGATGTAGGTGTCTAAGGGCCACAACATCGACGTACCACTTTGAAGACTGTATGCTCATGATTAAAACTACTTTTATGGATTTTATCGCGTTTATTTTTACTTTTTATTTTTAATTCCCGACGTTTCGGGCGCTTTCCAGCACCCGTGGTCACGGGGGGACTGAGATGACTGACGTCCCGATGTCATTGTTAAACCCGGAGTACCTTCAGCTTTTTTAATTAAAACAGCTGTAGTTTTAATCATGTGCAATGTTCGCGTAAATGTAAGAAATCATTATGACTGTATGCTCGTTTAACTCCCTTACTCCTTAAGTAAAACCTTATAGTGTGAAAATTGAACATTTAATAAAAGGTTACTAAAAGGGACTTCGAGGGATTGAAAATAATGAAAAATTTTCCACATAATGAGTTCTGATGCCTATGACATAGTGCAACGAACTATTAAAGCCTCCATTTCAGAAGTCATAACTGAAAATTATTTTGCTTTTACTCTTTTAAAAGTTTATTTTTCATACTTGCGTTCGTACTACTTTCCACTAAAGAATATTTCAAGTTATCGCAATAACAAATTAAAATAAAATGTTGTCCTAACTAGTTAGATGACTAACTCGTTAGGATAACATTTTATCTATTTTTTTTACGAGAACACCCCTGTAGTAGAGCTGAGAATCTAGTCCTGTTGTAAGTCGGTTTAAAGCTAAGGAAAGAAGAGATCACCTATTCTAGAAAAAAAACTTCCATAAACTAGACAGTGATTGGTTGACATAGAAGGAGGAAATAATTATTTTATTTTACTTAAACCTTAATATAGATGCAACTTTCTACTTTTGCATAAGCCGGGAAAAGTATATTGCTGAACCTCTCCCTTTCTAGTGAGGATTTTCCGTGACCATCAACTTTTTGATGATCCTAATACCAGACGGTTCGCACTTTTGACGCTGTTACCTATTCCCGGTCTAAATATTTCTACGTCTTGAGTAAATGACATCTATTGGAAGCCATTGAAGCCTCCGTGGAACAGTGGCTTAGCAGTGGGTTGTAAAACTGGATACCACGGGTTTTATCCCGCGAAATAAGTATTTGTATGGCCTACAAATAATTGTTCTAGGTCTGAATGTTTGCCCTTTTGAAAATTATGTTTGTAAACTGCCTGCACGGTGCAGGAGAAGATCCTAGTGTAGGGGTAACGTTTTTAAAAATAGATAGTAGTAAATATGCTTTTATGGTATTACTAAGGATTTTTCCATGTATAGAATGATAATTTAAAAATTCAACTGCTAACAAACTTAAAAACTTATGCAAGCATATGGCAGAATACTTTTTCTACCTTTTTTGTCTGCCTTTTCCTCCCTCTTACCTATTTCTCCACCGTATAGTATTTGCACTGCTGTGTTGCATTACAGGTGCAGTTACAGTAGTATTAAGAGGCCTGTATGATTATTGGCGTGTAGGTACTTTATCTTAATTATCATAGCAGACATGCAGCTCTAACGTTTCTAGTTTGAGGCTGACTGCAAGTGTCATGAACTGCATTATCCACTCACCATCAGATGGACTGATAGTTAATTTGAATTTTAAGTTTAAAAAAAAATTATAAAACCTTTCTAACCGATTCAGTACTTTGAACGTCCAACAAATGCGGCGCCAGTGATAGTTTTAGTAAACCGTTTAATTTCAAAAACCGTGTCCTTGGACAATCAAACGCTTCGTACATTCCATGCTTGCGCGCCCAGTCTATCCAACGATGATGTTTCCATGGTGCTACTTCTAAAATAGAATATGTTCAAAATAGATTAAAATAATAATAATATATAAAGGGAAAAATAAGTATATTTATTTTTCCCTTTATATATTTATCCAGCCCAAACAGATGTGATTACTCTATTAATAACCCAATAATAATAATATTTATTGTTTCTCACATCACTTAAACAAACAAATCATATTGAAGCTCTGTAGCCCATGGTAAGTGAAAACTCTATTACAGGCTACAGCGTCTTCTCCGTTTCAGTGACACATAGTTTTATCGTGACAAAATATTATAGTAAACGGCATAAATTTAATTAATATATATAAAATAATTAAATAATAACACCAAAAATATAAGCTAACAAAGTGTGAAAAAAATGCGTTTGTGGTGTGTGGGGGGGGGGGGGGGGGGGGTGAGTGTGTGTTTATTTAGTGGAAACGATAAGATCCTCAGTAGCGTCATAGTAAAACTACTTAACCACTTTAGTAAAATTGGCTTAATATTATGATTACTTAGATGCGCGGTTTTAAAAATTGTGTTTAATTTTTGTACAGTAAGGTAGCAGAGTAGTTAATGTGTCTTCTAGCGAAGTTGCTCTTGTAAGCAGACAAGAATAGCGGACCGTGCTCTTATCACTTATTTGTATTTGAGAAGCAGTACTTTTGTGATATTTACGAATAGAATTGAAAATATATAACTTTCGTATAGTAAGTACGCTACATTTTATGTCTAAGTCCTCAGTCGGGTGACTAAAACGTAGGCCTTTAATAACTTTCAATAAAGCACGCCGTGGAGTTGATTGCTTTTTTAGCTGCCCCACCCCACGAACTAATGCAGTAAGTCATAACATATTCTGCAAGAGCTTTATATACTTTCATTATAGCCTTATTATCTAAAACATCTCTTAAGTTTTTAAGCACATATATGAGCTTCCTTATTCTGTTACTAACAGCAGTGATATGTGCTAACCAATTTAACTTGTCATCAATAATTACGCCCAAGTACTTTACATTACCACTATGCAATAAGTGTGGACAGTTATATTCAAGTGTGGTGGTTGGAAACCTGTTACAAGGAAATTTTTGTATTACTAATTTTGAATTTAATGATAGTAGGTTGTCTTCCAGCCATGCAGTAACGGTTTTTAAACTTTCTTCAGCTAACTTGTACACTGAGTTCTAGGTACGTCCCCAGTATCGTCCACAAACATCTGAATTGTTGCACCATTTACTACCGTATTACACAGGTCATTACTGTAGATCACGAACATTGTGGGGACCATTATACTTCTCTGTGGAATACCATATATACAGGATGCGCTGTCACTTAGTAAGTTATGTAGTCGCACGTTTTGTTTTCTTACACTCAGATAGTCTTTGAACCACATTAGCGGGGTACTTATTATGCCAGAGCTTTCCATACGTGACTGTAGGATGGGAATAGACACAAAATAATAAAGCTCCTTAGGCATCTTTGCCCTTATAGAATCAATTTGCTGAAACGTGGGATCACGTGATGTTCATGTTCGCTATGAAAGGAAAGTAGCTGTTGACGTTATTACTGTCGTCTTATATTTCCTTATCGTTGATCCGTTACGGGTCCAAACGTATAATAAAGCTAAACTAGGAACTCATTCAAGCACACAACTTCTTTTATCAAAATCGGTCGAGCCGCTTTGAGTTTAAGCGAGACTAACGAACATCAATTGATTTTTAATATATTATAAAGATATAGTTTAAAATTTGATAGTTTTATTTAATATTAGCGACCCTACCCAGTTTCACCCAGATAGGATTTAATAAACTGAATATTTAAATTTTAGATATTCAAAAGCCATTTGTTTATTTTTTTTAAATATCTTCAAGTTTTTCGGATTAAATATAGCATAGATCCTTTATTGGACATGATTTGTTCGTAAAGTTTGGTCTCCGATGTGCATACCGACAAAAATATAAAAAATGGTTACATAAATAATGATTTATATTTACGCGAACAATACACATTAAATGAAACTATTTTTTATTTTTTGTATGATTTACCGAAAATACATAAACAAAACGCTCCACTACGTCCGATAGTGAGCCAGATCGATTCACTAACTTATAAACTGGCATAACACTTGGCAAAAATACTGTCACCACACTACCATTTTGTTAGTGAGATAAAAGACCGCTGACAACGAGATTCATGTCGAAGGTTGTTCTCTAGATATAACTTACTAACTGTAACGGGCATGTACATTTTTGAGTTATGCCGCTTCATTATTAGGAAATATCTTCATTTCTTTTTTTCATTTTTTGTATCCAACGAATTGGATATAGACCGAGTCGATACGGCGCACGCCGTGTTTATAATCAGATTGCTCCTGCCACACATCTCACATTATATAAAAATGTTCCTTACAACATGGCTAGAAATGTTTACCTAATACGATAAAAGCCCTTCAGTGTCGTAAATTTGAAATAGTACTTTAGAAAATGGTTATTGTAAAAACATATTATAATTGGAATAAATATTTTTAATGATAAATTATAAATCAATTTTAATTATTTGACTATTTTATTTATTTCTATTTAATTATTTGATATTGTTAATGTTTTTCATCAAAATTTTAAACCTTATTTATATAATATAAATGAGGAATAACCAATATTGACGTAAACTATTTATTGAAATTTTATTTAAAAAAACGTGTGTGGATTATTTAGTTTGACATTTTATAAATTAATTAATAATAATCTATATACGAGTATTGTGTACAATAATATGGTAATTTAATTGAATTCTATATGAATTAACTGTCTTAAAATACTAAGCCCGTACAGGCTGTTCATGTTCTGTAAATATATTGTACCAACTTTATACTTTGAGATATGCAATAAACAATTATGAATTTAAAAAAAAAATGGAACTGGTCAGTTTTGATGTTAATTCACTATTCACACGCATACTTATTGAAAAGCGTATCTCAATTGTTACTAGTATGATAGAAGATAACAACATGCCTGCAAAATATGCAGTATTATTCAAACACTGCCTCACATCTGGCTATCTATTATGGTAAAAAGAGTTCTACAAGCAAGTAGACGGTGTAGCGTATCTCCCGTGTTCACCCGTATCTCCCGTGGTCGCCAACATATTAATGGAAAACTTTAAGAAGAAAGCCCTTCTTACTGCTCCTGTAAAACCAAGATTCTACAAACGGTACGTAGTACGTTTCACAATTTTACCATCTGACAAAGTAATTACGTTTTTAGATCATCTCAACTCCATAAATTCTAAAATACAATTCACAATGGAGTTAGTGGTAAAGAATTCTTCAACTTTACTAGATGTTTTAGTCATACAAAATTCTGATAACACTATTGGTCATATTGTGTATAGGAAAAAGACCCATACCAACCGATATTTAAACGGTGAATCTCACGACCATTCTTCAAAATTAGCTACCGTGGGAAAATCTTTTTTTCAGAGAGCACAAAGGATCTGTGACAGAAAACATCTGGCCGCGGAGCACGTCAGTTCAGCACGTCAAGCAAGTATTGCAAGACAACAAGCTTCGGGTTGGCCGTGGCCGAGTAAAGCCCGTCACGGTCGATCGTGTGCCTGCTGTAGTACCATACGTCAGAGGAGTCACAGACAAGATTAGCTAAATCTTAAAGCGAGCTTCGATTAAAACCTACTACAAGCCGTAGAAGAAAATTTGTCAGTTTTTACCATCTCTCAAGTTCAATATCCCTCTACAAGATGCAGGAGTGTACAAGTTAGATTGTGAATATGGCCTCTCTTACATAGGTCAAACAAAAAGATCCATAAAAACCCGCGTTAATGTAGCCGAGCTATGACATCGGCTAAAGCTATATTATCTACTGCCAAACTAAACGGTAAGACTAAACGGAGTCGTGTCATAATATCGACCTACACCAAATTCTAGTGGTGGTAATAAAAATTCAAAATGCCGGAAAACAATATGGCTGTCATACCAATTTTAAAGAGATATAGCTCGGCGAAGGTTAGAAATAGTTTGAACTGTGGATTTTTAATATGCTGTAATGCACGAATGAATCATATAGATAATAATTCAAAATAATTAAAATCTGAGGTTGCCAAGTTACCGACCAAGCGTGGCAACCATGGCTAACTTCCTCCCTGTGAGAAAATATATGAAGAGGTCTATATTAAGCAATGTATCTTTGATAGGTTGTATTATGTATTATGTACATAAAATAATGTAATTGAGTTACGGTTTTCACCAGTTTTTACCTACTTGGCAAATCCTAGCTTCGGACTAAGTGTGCTTTTTGGTGTTCTCATTCTTGACTCCACTTCCGCCACATATTTTATTGTAATCCGAAAGTAATAAATACTTTTATAACTAGTAGAAGCTAATAGTAGAAGTGATAATGAATGTGTGGGTATTTAAAAATTTGTGTGCAATAACACAATTTTGCAGTAGAAGGTATTTCTAATTTTTGTGTCTATGATATATTCAATTAGTCTATGACTGAATTATAAACAATTTATTATTAATATTTAGTAAATATTTATAAAATTGATATGGTTTATTTAATTAAATTTTTTCAAAATGTTTTTTTAACTATTAAGTTTATCTATTATAAGTCAGGTAAGGGAAATAATGCTTGTATATTATTTAGTACTTATAAAATAAAAAACATTATATTTTCTTATAGTTACCTGGCTCTGGCAATGGTTTCTTTAATGGAAAGTCCCTGGCCATAACCACAAGCAAATGCATTTCAAATGCTGGTGTTATTTCAGGTATTGTAAATGGTGGCATATTCCTTGAATCCTCGATAAGAATAGTTGTGAGCGAGCGTCGCTATAATGTTAATTTTACAAAAATAAATACTAGTCAAATGAATAGTGCTGATATAAACAAATACAAAGTATTAGTATAGTTGGCTTCTTTAATATACAATATCATTTTAAAAAAATGCTATCACAATAGAGATCGAAGAACCGACAACCGACTGGCAATCCAATATGGCTTCTCAATAGCTTTCGAGCGGCAGCACGAATCCAGTAATTGAAATGTGTACGCCGCCCCCTCTAGTTGGAGTGGCGACCTGGAAAGGTCTACAGGAACTCGATGAATGCAGGTAGTTCAGCACGATATGGTCACGATGATAATAAATGATAATCCATTATCCATTTCCATTACAGCCTACAGTCCACTGCTGAACACAGGCCTCTCCCCGTAGATTGCCCCATAGTGGGGATTGCGCCATAGCTGCCAAGCTTGGCAGGTTGGTTGGCAACTGCAATTTTCTTATAATCTTATGTTGTTATCAAGAAAATGATGCCGCCCATCTCCTGTTTTAGTTTTCCTTGTATCGTGTAGTGGCGGTGTAAGAATACCCACTACCCCATATCTTCCCGAGGATGTTGTAAGCGGCGACAAAGGATAATTATAATGATGAAACACGATTAAAAGGATTAGAAGTATCTAAAACGAACAATAACGACATTTAAATGAATAGGAAACTCGGATATAATCCATAACGGCTTTAATTATAAGGTCGGGGAAAAAGCTTCCTCGTATTTTATATACATGTCGTGTATAACGATATCGTTTTAGTAAAAGTTGCTCAACTGATTAATGTATAATGTATAGTGATGGGGCAAACGCCGTGACGTTATTTTGTAATAGCGGCACGTGGACATAGTCGTTTTTGGAAGGTGTGGAACGGGCACTTTGCACCGAGACGTGAACCAAATCACTTCTCCAAAACGAAACTGTCAGTTTTCGTAATTAAATTATTATCATCTGTTATTGTCTATTTAATTTATCCTATCGATTTCTTATATTTACGCGAACACTGCACATTGATTAAAACTACTTTTACGGATTTTATTGCGTTTAATTTTAATTGATTTTTAATTTCCGACGTTTCGAGTGATTTCCAGCACCCATGGCCACGGGGGACTGAGGTGACTGACGTCCCGATGTCAATGTTAACCCGGAGTACCTTCAGCTTTTTAATTATTGTTTATGGTCCGATCTATGCAGAATGAACTTAATCTCTCTTGAAGTCTTGCAGTGGTATGCTTGGTGGCTTTAGTTTTAATTTTATTAATTACTTTATAATTTATCCTTTTAAAAGTGAGATTATATTTACACTTCATGTTATAATTCAACGGCACGTACGAAATGGACTCTTTACCACCATACCAAGATGATGACGACCCTATTGCTCCGTCGTTGCAGACTTCGTCATACAATTTCAAGACATTTTTTTTTTCAAAGTTTAATTACATTTAATTAAAATATATGTGCCATTTTGTTAATAGCTTATTGTCATATTGTAGGTAGAGACATTATCCCGTTGCTGTAAAAATCTAGGGATTTTTCGTGAAAAAAATGTGACAAGTAGTTTGATAGTTCTCACTTACTGTTAACCTAACACGTACTCAAAGAATTCACAAGAGACCAAAACAGGTAAAACTCTGAGAGTGCAAAATCAGGACTATATGATGGGTTGACTAAAACTTCCCAATAAAGCTCTCTCAATTTTTGCTGAGTCGCCAAAGATGTGTGTGGTATGGCGTTATCATGATGAAAGACCACTTCTTATCTCTTGGTCAATTCCGGTCATGTTTTCTCAATTTCTTGCTTGAGTCTCATTAGTTTTTGGCATAATAAACGATGCTCTTCTAATCCCACCATACACACAATATCACCTCATTACGTGTTAACCCGGGTTTCGCTATAGCTCTGTGGTGCTTTACTACCCTCTGACCATGATCTTTTCTTACACACGTCCTTGTCGTATGTTTTAATAGAGAATCGAAATGAATATACACATTAGATTCTTTCAATGAGCTCGTGTGGTACCCAAATATCAAATATTTGTAGCGGCTTGAGTCGCATTTTTCCTTTATTTGTAATAAAACTTTTAAATGTATCGAATTTTTACATCGAATTAACTAATTTTGGCGGACAAAAAGGGAAAGTGTTTTCACTTTTTTTGACATAAAGAGGAAAAAGTACCAAAGAGAATTTCAATTTTACACAAACAATATACGAAGAAACCTTTTCCCCCGATCTATTATAATCGTTGAATGTCGCTTACTTAAGTCTTAATTACTTCTACATCTGTATTCTGTTAATTTTTTTAAAAGCAAACTTTAAGTATTTCTTATTTTGGACATGGATTTTAATGAGTATTGCCATACTTTAGTAATGGGCTTTAGATTTTATACGTTGTATGAGAAATTTAAAAAAAGAAATTCAAACCTTAATTACCGAATTTTCTTTAGTGCCAGGTCTTTTTGTTTTAGATTTTACAGTACTTGAATATGTTTCATGGTCCTCATTCCACGTAAAAAGTTGCACTTCTGAAGTAATCAGCTTCCACAATTCATCAGCGTCTGATCATTCATATACAAATTTCAATATTATGTAAGTTTAAAAAAAATCACAAGACACAAAAGTTATGAAAATGAGAATTTAGATTTATTTAATCGTTTCTCCGTGGGGCTTAGGGACATTACTTTTTAGTTCTCAGGTGTGACGGTGCACCTTCATTTCAATTTTCAATCGATGATTTATGTAGGTGTCTTTGGACGAATATATGCACATAATATCGCATTCTTAAAAATGTCTATGTATAGCAGTGACCTTTTAATGCTGGAAAACTTATATTTTGGTCTATATATGCACTTAATGCAAGTCTCGGGGGCATTATTTATAAACCTGAATTGACAAACAAACTCACAGTTTACCAGATGGTAAGTGGCTATTAAAGCCGATGAACACATGCAGTCAAAATTAAAACAAGAATAATAAACACCTCATTTATTTATTATTTACAGTTTTAATAAAACTGTAGCGTTACAGTTACAGCCTATTAAGATCCATTGCCGAACTTAGGCCTCCCCGTTAGATTGTCTCATAGTGGAGAGCTGAGATGAGTTGGCAACTGCATTTTTCTATTTGTAGTCGTCATTATCTAGACGCTGCTGCCTTTTTCCTTTTATTTATAGTCGAAAAAAACCAACCACGAAGTTTTTACTTTAAAAAATTTATAGTCAAAAGTTTTTATGATATGATTCATGCAAATATTTCTAAAAAGAAGCTACTAATTTGTTTCAATATCAGATTTAATGATTTGATTCAATGAGTTAGGTTAGGTTTTATTTCATTTCATCTCATTAAATTTATTTTCATTTCATATCAATGAAAAATTCTACTGAAGACTTGACTGTATGGGCATAGTTCCCTTTGCCTACCCAGAATGGGTGAAGAAAACAAACTTCGAGTCTTTTAAAATTCTGTCTACGTTTTAACGTAGACAGAGAATGCTATAGACAAAGTGATATCTTTTATCGCAGTCACATAAGAGAAAGAGCTTACTATACTTACTTACGCCGATGTCGTGTAAAGAAATGAGAAAGAACGATGAGATTTTTTGTCTCGCTTAGCGTGTCGCCATTTTTAATATATAGCAAACCACTTTGCTAAATAAAGTTTGACAGCTAACGTGTAGCGTGATAAATTCTTTGTATAAAATACTGTTTTATGTGTTTTATGATAAGTATTTCATATTATATTTTGTTGTGAACAATTAAGACGTAATATTCCAACCATTTTTATTTAAAACATGGTGCGGTGTAGTGTATTAGGGTGTAAAAGTGATAGTGAAAGGAAAATGGCGGGGTTGTCTTTTCATTCGTAAGTATACCATACTATCGGTTACTAGGCAGTCTGTAACATTTAATAAAATACATATATTGTGTATAATGTACTCTAGACGTAAATTTATCGCTAAAAAGTACAAAAATAACAATTGCAAATTTTAACCTAAAATCTTCGGTGTGGCCAACTTTTCTATAAGTTATTACCCACTATTATAGGAAATAATAATGTCTGCGTACCGAAGGTGTATTTTCCTAAGTCCATTTTTTTCGACATTCACTTTGTAATGTCATTGAAACAAAAAAAAATAACGATCTACTTGGTGGTAAAGTATTTTTAAGTCCAACTAAAAAAACTAGATGCTTTTGAACTCGTTAACATGTTTTAAGTTAAAAATCTTGTTAGAAAACAAAGTTTTAATTTCAGTGTTTAGTGTTATTATAACTTACTTATTTTTTATTATAATTTTATATTTTAATTACAAGACATAATATATAGGTATGTAAGTATGTAGATACTTGGATAGTGAAGTAAATTTCAACTACGTTAAGTAATAAAGTACATAGGTATTACTTGTGTAGATAAATTATTACCACAGTATAATAAAAACATACAGTAGGACGACGCCTTTGATCTCGTGGTAAATGCCGACAACGTCTAGACAGCGTATGGAAGTTAGGGTTGTCACAAATTAACAACTTTTACTAATTTCATTATTTATTTTAGATCTACACCGTGATCAACAATATGATTACTAATATAAAGAATAAGTAATAATTTGTTCTTACATTTTTCCTGAAAGTACTCAAAATGCTAATTGCACGCCTCACAACATGAGGGAGTACTCTACTCTCGATATGTGGCCATACGTCAGTTTCGACTCCTCATCAAAATTAACATCCCTAACATTAAAAAAATGATGTCCACCATCTTGGATTTAAAAATAAATTCCATTTTCGTTATCAGCATCCCAAGAAACCTCGAAACTGATACCCATATCATATTATTAAAAAAATGGTAGCCATCTTGGATATGAAAATCGATGCCAGTTTCGTAATAAGCACCCCAAGAAACACCGAAATTGATACCCATATCGTATCATTAAAAAAATGTCCGCCATCTTGGATATGAAAATGGATGCCAGTTTTGTAATAAGCACCCCAAGAAACCCCGAAATTGATACCCATATCATATTATTAAAAAAAAATCCGCCATCTTGGATATGAAAATGGATGCCGGTTTCGTAATAAGCACTACAAGAACCTCGAAATTGATACTCATATCATATTATTAAAAAATGTCCGCCATCTTGGATATAAAAATGGATGATAACATTTAAAAATAACAAAAGCAAGCGCGCGCTAATCCTGGAAGGCGTGTCCCTAGCTACTAATACGATTGGCATAAGCAGATCGGGCTCGTCCTTCCCGCGTCTCACCCCACACACCCCGCACGATTGCCCCGTCTAGACGTCTTAGTCGGACGACTGTATGGATTTATAGACTGTGTTATTACTTAATTCTTTTTTACTATCAGTACCTATTTAACAAAAAAAAAAGAAATAAATTCACCTTTAATAACTTGTTTCTGAAATCCTTCGGTAATTTTAAAGAATGATATATCTGAAACCTTTTTTTGGGCATTTGGCATCCATCCACGCAACAATTATAGTAGGAGCGACGTTTTTCCATTAAAAATTATCAAATAGGTAAAATAATATAAATAACACTAAACAAAGACTATTTCAACAAGTATTTACAAAAAAAACTAATTACGTAAACACCGTTAAAAAAAAGTTTATCGACCAAATTGGCTATATTTTGAAATTGGCCACGTTAGAAGTACCCTTAACCGACGAGCATGTATGCGTAGATATATGGATGTAAAGGAGGCGAAAGAGGTATGTAAGGATCGTGCCAAATGGAAGTCCGTAGTCTCTGCCTACCCCTCTGGGTGACAGGCGTGAGTGTTTATGTTACGTTAAAAAACCCAAAACAAACATTCGATCCCCTACAACGCGCTAGCCCCGACTGCGTATGTTACCCTGGGTGCCTAGCGATTGTAGGTAATTATTTCACGCAGGTAGCAAGAGTGACAGAGGGCTGGTAACAGTTAGTTCAGTATCTTCTTTCTTCAATATTAAAACACAACCTACATAAATACAGCCCACTAAGCTCTCAATCATTACAATAGTTTCTTTAAGTTTATTAGTCAGACAGATATCACAATTTTTTAGTTTCTTCTTTCTTCACCACAGTAAATTATAATAAATAATTAGTCAAATACAGTCCACTTAGCTCTCCATCAACTACAATACATATCAATGATAATCGTTAATAGCAGTGTTCCATTTCAGGTTTACTTCACGTACTAATTCCTAATTTTATAGCTAGTTGTGGGGTAAATTTTTCCTCACACTTGTAACCCTAAATATAGTGACGTATTTACTTTTGTCCCTTTCTGCGACACGCTATGGCGGAGTCTATAGGATTTTCTGTCTACGTTTTAAAAAGTCTTTTACGGTGGCGCCATTTTCTAAAAATGTTCTTAGCGAGTTTAGTTGTATGTTGCACAAAATGAGTGATTTCGACGATATTTTATTTGAATTAACACCACCGGAACTCAGTATAATTGCACAAAATGCTTCGGAGAACATTTTACCGGAAAAGTCAAAACGTCGCTACACATCTACTTACGACGAATTTATTGCTTGGAGAGAAGAGAAAAAAGGAAATAGTTTTTCAGAAAATGTTATATTGGCATACTTCTCCGAACTCTCAGCAAAATTAAAACCTTCTACGTTATGGTGGAGGTTTTCGATGATAAAAAGTATGATGAAAATAAGGAACAACGTGGATATAAATTAATACCCAAGTTGAGTTTATTGTGTTTTTATTATTTAATAAATTGTTTCATTTTTTCTGTATACGAAATCGTCATTGCAACTTGTTCCGACTGTCAACCCTCACCTTCGGCTGCGCCTCTACTCGGGTAGACATATTTGTCAGAACTCTTTGCAATGACAGGCTTTCCGCACTCGTAATGAAATATACTAGTTCGTTCGTTAAGTGTTTTTTTTTCAAATGTATTAACTTTCAGAAATAAGGTTTTTCTGACAGGAAAAGAAACTTCGCAGGTATTGACATTATCCCATTTTTGACAGTAAAGGATTAGAATATTTTTCTGTAACAGTAAAATATATACCTTATTTTTCTTTATAAAACTGAAACGGCAAACGTACTTAGAGTCCATCGGATGGTACTCGTAAGTAGCTACTGCAGTCTAGAGACACCTGTAACCAATTTCAATAAAAGAAGAATACTGATGTTTTGTCACCTCTGAGGTTTAAGACAGACTCAGGACTGTAATTATACTGAATTTCAAAACTCTCCAGACCAGTACACTGCAGTACACTTACTGCTATTTGAAGACAAAATAAAAGTGTCTAAATATTTTGATATGTGCTCTTTCTACAATGTTTTATGTAAAAGTACCTTCGATATAATACTTCACGTTTAAAGACCCAGTGAGAGCATGCATAATGTCCATATCTTCCATTGGTTCATCTTCGACGTAATCTGAATCATCATCAGAGTTCATATCTGGTGCGGCCAGCTTTAGCAGAGCCTGTTAATCACATTTCATTTATCATTATGCAATCTTTGGGCATTGAAACAGAATTTTTTTTTAAATTTATTAGGAGTGTAATTATTTTCAGTGTATTACAGTAGTAACAAGCGAGGCAGAAATCCTCGATATAATTTGTACGTAACTGAAATCAAACATATCTGATAACTGCAACTTACTTCAAAATATAGGTCCCCAGTTACGTTGTCGAACCATTGATGACCATAGTGAATTGCCTCCCAACTTTTAATTATACCGCTGTAAATAATTGTAATTACGCTGCTGAGTAGCAACTATATAATCCCTTGGAGGAAGCCTATGTTTAGCAGTGGACTTGCGAAGAGCAGTAATGAAAGAATGATGATGACTGTTTCAGTGGCAAGGTGATATATAACATCTTCCTTTGTCATATTTCCTCAGTTTCAAGGCACTCCCCTTGCTTCCTTAGCTATCATCGAACATATCAAATTGTATGAAGTTTTGTGGTTACTTGCCCACGGTCAGACGAATGATCAATGAAGATCTAGGACTACGAGCTTATCGTAGGACCGGAATATTTTTTACGAGCGTTTGAAAAAAATTAGGCTGGATAAATTTCGCGCTTTGTTACGGCCGTACGGGGGAAAAATACCCCGAAATTTTGTTTTCGGATTAAAAAAAATTTTACATTGAAGAAAGTCATAATAAACAAAACGATAAGGAGGGTTTAACGAGCACATTATATTTCGTCACTCATGGTTTGGCGTGGACTTTCATATTCAGGCTTAACTGATGTGTTTTTTTGTAAAAAAGGTCTAAAAACTAGTGCCGAGGTGTACCAAAATACTTTCCTAACACACATAGTGGAACCTATTGCTCAAACAATGTTCAAAAACTGACATTGGATATTCCAACAGGACTCTGCACCCGATCATAGGGCATGAAGCACGCAAAACTGGTTGACCGCCCATGGAATTGACTTTATCGGACATGAAGACTAGCCCACTTTTAGTCCAAATTTAAGCCCACTGGATTATATGATATGGCAACATTTGGAAGAGAAATTCTATGCTAAACCTAATCAGAATTTGGAATCTCTCTGAGCATCTTTGGCTAAAGCAGAGGCAGAAATAGATATAAGTGTGGTGCGTGCTGCGATTGATGATTGGCCGCGTCGATTAAGGGCATGTATTCAAAATAGGGCATTTTGAATAATGTGAATAAAATTGTATTTTAAATCAAATTTCCTTTCATATTAATTTCCTTATATATAATTTCTATATAATTATCAAAAAAAGTGTATCATTAATTTTTTGACAGAACTTATGACCTGAATAAGTATTTCATGCCGGCAAATCGCCTGCAACTTTACAAAACGCAAGTTCGAACTCACGTGGAATACTATTACGCGTATCTTAGCTAATTAAATTTTGAAAATCTTCAAGGTATTATATAATTGTAATAAAACAATTGATAACCTTACCTTACAAAGTAGTAGAGGCCACAAATGCACTGTCGTACTGGTTATATTTACTGCAGTTTGTCTACCAGCGGGCTTCGTTGTTGTTTGGTTGAAGAAAGGGGCAAACGGCAGGAGGGGGGAGCCTGAGGAATCGACGGGCACTTGATCGCTCACCCATACGCATCGCCACGCGCCGATGTAGTATAGTCGCACAAGATAGCAACCTGAGTGTAGTAATTTCCGTCGCAAGATTGAACGACTCCGTTGATAAATTGAAACTAAACGCCCTTATCTAAATTTATGGGTTACAGGCAAATTGTGAGTACAACTGAAGTATGTGTATAATATTAGCTTATAAATGCAATAGTTGAGAATGTGACTAAAAAGACATGTATAGTAATTCACAATGCTTTGTTAGTCTATGGTACTGTAATTTGGGTGTATCAAAAAAGCATGAGATTAAAATTAATGCTATAAAATTGCGGTCATTAAAAAGTATGTTAAGTATGAATGATAGGGTGGAAAATTGTCATTAGAGAATTTTGGTTTGCAAGAAGATGTTGTGACAAGGATTAATAAAGAAATGGACATGTAGAAATAGTGATACTGTGACGCTACAGAAATGAGTGGCAGATTCAACTAGAGAGGCCCTAGACGAAAATTTATTGACCAACTTGGCAATATATTAAAGATGAGCCAAGTTAAGGTACTCTTTACTGAAGAATGTGGTCAATCTTGCTTGGTGAAGCTATTTTGGGAGGGTCGAAGGAATGGGCCGCATGTCTAGATGGGGTAAATATAAGAAGCAAGAAAGTTGTGTCAGGATTGTGACAAATGGAAGCCCTTATCTTTGCCTACCCCTCTGTGGGACAGGCCTGAGAGCTTATGTTTGTGTTTTATGTAATAGCATAATTTTTAAACGATCTAATTGTACATGTAAGTAGAGTGTATGGCAGCGGAGCGACGACTTGATAAATGATGCGGGAAGTCTATTAATGCTGCTAGCTTAGGATCATGTTTTGTAGTATTCCTTGGGTCTATGTTCAGCTGTGGACTTGTAAGAAGCTGAAATGATGCTACTGCTGTCGATGATGATAATGGTATTATAAAATGTTTAGTGTAAGTGAGAATATGCAATATTCTAAACGAGCCACCCTCATTCGCACCCAGTTATCTCTGCTTTTTTTTTCAGTACCCTTTAGCTTGGATGGTTCTATCATATTTTTTATAAACATTACTTTGTTAAAAAAATTCGAAAAAGATCCTCAAGCATGCAATATAATACCTATTTGTTTTTATTGAGTGTCTAGTTAGCGTGATTGCTGTCACAATTATTTCTTGGATGTTTCTGTCAAGATTCTCAGTAGAAGCCCGGAGTCAGAAAGTTGGTGGTGTTTTGCCTCGGTGCCTAGAAAATCACGTTAAGCCGTTGGTCCTGCGCCTGATTTCTTTCTGGTCGTGTCGGATTACCATCGAAACAGACTATAAGGATGAGGGAAAAGAGTGCACCTGCGTATGGGCATAAACTCGGGCATTATAATTTTGTCCTATGCGGCTGCGTAGCTATCCAGCTAGTTTCCGTTTAGACTGGCCGTCGTGACCGAAAGACATTTTTTGTAATAGGATATTCTATATAAAATAAGGTGAATAGATAAAGAATTTATGATACCATTTTTAGAGAGTGTAGGTCGATGTTGTTGCCCACCACCATGTTTCATCCCAGGTGAGTATATGTGGAATCGAGCTCGCCATCCCCCTGGCGGCACGGAAAATACAAAGTTGTCCCATTGATGCTCAACCTAGAATAATATACAAAATTCTATGTCTTAAATTTGATCAAGAGTATTTTAGAAAATTTAGATATCTATTTTATTAATTTATTACATAAAAATACATTCTGTTGTACACTAAATTACGTTCAGCATCCGCAGCACAGTTTGTTGTTGGATACTTCAAGCACCAACATCCTACATATCTACTGTAATATTAATATGCTCATTTGTAGGTAATCTTATCAAAATGTGTTATGCAAAAATTTAGTATCTCGTTGACATCGAAAAAAAAATTTAATTAGCTTAAGATCCTGCTTAATCCTTGGGCAAAATAAATACGAACTCAGCATGTGTTGAAATCTAATGGAGAACCAATTCGCTTTTACGTATAGTAAGGGTGAATCAAAAATGGGTAAAAATATCAACGTATAATTAATTGGTAGTTATTATGGCCTATAGATACCTACATACTCAATAAAGACAAAATAAATAAATGCGTTATTACTTCTAAGCAAAGATAAAATACTTCCATGTTGGTTAAGGATTCTCTGGTTGTTATTTTAATTTGCTGGTATTCTATGTTGTTATGTGATAGCGTGGTGATTTCCAGATCAGCTTAAATTATTTGTGTTGTAGACTAATATATGTGGTAGATGATGATATATATATATATATATATATATATATATATATATCGTCGCCTTGGAGGGCAATGGAGCTAACCCACAATTTTTGCGAAATGGAGTTAAGTGCATTAACGTACTGAGAAAGAACCATAGTTTATATTAGTCAATACATGTAACTGATATCATAACTGTAAGCAGGTTTTTTTTAAATTGCCAATAAATTTAAGTGTAGTTTCAATAAGAGTCAAAAATTCTATGCCGCTTAGATTTATTGTGATGACAAGGTTACAAGTCATAGTTAAAGTAATAATTCAGTGGTCAATAGTTGTAAGAGCTCATAGAACTCTTGACCACCAAAATTATGTCTTCATAATATCTATGTATGTTATGTCATTTTTTATCCAATCCCGATTTTATTTGGGAACATTTTAATTGGCAGAGAAAAATCATGTTTATTCCTGTTAACCAATCCACATTCTGTATTTCTACGAGTTTGTGCGTGCATTGTTTAGTTTGCTTTGATAGTGAGTCGGTGATTTGTGCAAAATAACAATAATGATCTATTATATTAATAATATAAACTACTTAAATAATTGAGAGTTCATTATGATTTCTAGCAATTGATGTGCATATAATATAAATATATATATTATTTTATCAGTATTCAGTGTGTGGTTAATATTATTATCATGAATTTATCGCGAGGACAGAAGATGGTTGCGGCGGTTTTTGATCTATACAAACAAAACAATCAAGGTATGTACATACTCATGTTTTTATTAATAGACATCTAATTATTTTAAAATACTACTAGGTGACATTCAAACATAACACAACTTTCATAATTCGTTTTCGATCAATCAATCTAAAAGACATTCCAAACGATTTATGCGGGGCGGGGTGTCGGGCGCGACTCACGTGTTTCTTACTTATCTGCTTTTTTTTGTATTAAATGTAACTTTCTAGATGATTATAATATGGAACCATTCTAGAAGATTTTAAATATCAGAGTAGAGGTTTTTTTTTTTGATTAAATTGAAGGATTAAACCCAATTTTGTCAGGTGTATAGTGTACAAACTTGTACTATCAACAAAAAGGTACTGGGGTGTTATTTAGCGCGGTCTCGTGGTAGATATTGGAGCAACTTAGTGCTACCTGCATTTAATTTTAATTTTATTGTTTTAGTTCTTGAAGAAAATGAAGAAAATTCGTACCATGTACTTCAATCTGTGCCTCCAACAGTTGAGACAACCGATGGTTCTAGTGTTTCACTCACAGAACAAACACGTAAATATACTTACAACTTTATTGTTTTTATTTAGGTAATTTAGCCATAAAGATTCTTTTAATTTAGAATTGTATCAACTGCCCTCGTCTTGCTGCCCTAGGCAAGCGCTCATGACGAGTGAAGCGGTTGGTGACCCTGCGCATTGTGTCCCTTGTACCCTTGATAGTCACTGGCGCTTTAACGTTGAATTCACAAACGAGATATTGTAAAATATTGCTATATTTATATAGATATACATACCCAAATTTGATTTTAATTTTTATTGTTTTAGTATTTGAAGACAATGACGAAAACTCGTATCATGTACTTCAAACTGTGCCTCCAGCAGTTGAGACAACAGATGGTTCTAGTACACTCAGAGAACAAACAGGTTAATATAGTTATGTAATACGATCTAGGGTAATCTAGCCATAAATTTTCTTTCAAATCTAGAATTTTAGTAACTGTATTTATTTGTTGTAGAATTTACAAAGTTTGTAGGAATTTTTGAATCTTGGTGTAGCTCAAACGTGGTAGAGCCATGCTACAGCTATATTATTAGTATAGTTGTAGCACGAATGGGTCGGCTCGACCGGGTAAGGACCACGCTCTCATAGAATACCAGCTTAAAATAGCAGCTTAACACTGCTGTGTTTCGTGTGGTGAGTGGAGAGAACCGGAGACCCTTTTTACTGGAAACGAGGCATCTTAGTCCTAACGGGTGATAACGCATCTGCATTTTGATTCGCAAACGAGGATAGATGATGTCTATGGGCCACAGCAATCACTTACCATCAGGTGGACTGTGTGCTCGTTTGTCACCCTATCCTATATAAAAAAGCTTGCCAGACTTATTTTCAGGTAAAAATAATAATGCTCTTTCTGGACATGGTTATAATTTTTCTTGTTTATACTTTCAGGTTCTATAGTTGATCGCAATCCTTACTTTACCTCTGATTCTGAAAACGATACAATGTACCACCCTGTAACGAGAGTTTCGGAGACCTCTACCTCTGAAAATATATCTAACAGTTCTGAAGAAGACAATGAAGTCCTATGGAGTAAATACATTCGAAAACACGTCACCTCTACAAGTAAAAAAGTAGACTCCGACACTTTGACAAGAAAACGTCAAAGAAATCCACTTAAGTGGAAACGTAATACTCAAAAAACTTTAAGGCTAGCTGGAAAGGAATATACAACAAGATCAGGAAATAAAATAGGTATTAAAAAAAGTTAAAGATATATCGTGTAAGTGCCATTACAATTGTAACTTTAAATTTTCATTACAAGAAAGAGAAAATCTTCTACAAGAATATTTATCTTTGAAATCTGAACATGCAAGATGGTGTTTCATAGGTAAGTGTGTGCAACGTGTACCTGTCAAACGAACCTACAAAGAAAATCAAAGTAGACGTAAAAACACGTTGGTATATAGCCTGTTTAGAGATAGCCAAAGTTTCCAAGTATGCAAGTCATTTTTTTTGACTACTTTTAATATATCTGCGAAGAAAGTTGAGACAGCTTTAAGTAAATTGACACCATCTGGAGTTACTGAACCAGATATGAGAGGGAAGAAAGAACCACCCAACAAGAAATCAGATGTAGTTAAAGATATAATTAGAGACCACATTAAGTCTTTACCTACTGTGTCTTCACATTATTGTCGTAGTACGACGAAGAGAAAATATTTGCCTTCAGGTTTAAGCGAAAACCGTTTGTACTTAGACTATGTAGAGTATTGTAAAGAACGTCAAGTTGTACCTGAAAAGGCCAGTTTTTACAAATTTATTTTTACCAACGAATTTAATTATGGTTTCCATCGCCCTAAGAAGGATCAATGTGACCATTGTATTCAATTTAAGAATAGGCCAGAGCATGAGCAGCAACTTCATAAAGAAGAGTATGATTTGCATATTATTCGTAAAAACGAAGCAAGAAAGCATAAAGTTCTTGACAAAAATCGTACCAAAGTAGATCCTGGCTTTATTGCCTTTGCTATGGACCTGGAAAAACTACTATTAGCTCCAAACTTACAGGCTGGTCAGGTGTATTATAAAAGAAAGTTAAAGATTTACAATTTTACATTGTATAATTTAGGAGATTCTGAGGCTACAAATTATATGTGGCATGAAGGAGTAGGTACTAAAGGTGCATCGGAGATAGCCACTTGCATTTGGATGCATTTATCGTCATTGGCTCCTGAGATAAAAGAAATAACTTTATTTTCTGATACTGCTTCTGGCCAGAATCGGAACACTATTATTGCCGCAATGTTTTTACATGCAGTAACAGTTTTGCCAATCCAAACCATTAATCAAAAGTTTATGGAGTCTGGACATTCAGAGATGGAATGCGATAGTGTACACTCTGCAGTTGAAAACAGAGGGAGGCATGTAGATATCTATACACCAGAAGGCTGGTACACTGTCGCACGTACGGCTAAAACAACAAAGCCATATTACAAGATCAAAGAGTTGACATATTCAGATTTTATTGACTTTAAGTCGTACAGTAACAAAGTTATCACAAATAAAAATAAAACAGATACTGGTGACAATATGAACTGGCTGTTATTAAAATGGATACAATATCGAAAAGAAAGTCCTAAAATTATATTTTTCAAGAACCAATTATCAGAAGAAAATTTTAAATCTTTACCTATACAGCGCAAAGCTCTACGCAAATCTACTATGACACCATGTTGCGATTTACAGAAGCTCTATAACAAAAAGCTTAAGATCTCTGCCAATAAACTTAAAGATCTGAAGGATCTCTGCGCAAAAGGTACCATACCTTCGGTGTATCATGATTTTTATAACGATCTGGAAGAAGGACTAATTAGTGACAACTCAGAAAGTGAATAATTTATTTTAACTTCCTCATTTTTCTACATTACTTTTTAATTGTTAATTTGATTTATTTTCCTTTAATAAAAGTAAATGAACAATTAATTATTATGTATTTATTTTTAAACACTCCACTCCGCTTGCGCGTTTTTATCTATTTAGATTGATATGTCATCGGAATAAAAAGTCAATAAGGCAAGAGAGTTAAGTGACATACACCTCGTAATATGAGTATTACATTGTAAATAAAATGGTAGTCAATAGGTCTAAGCCACATAACTTTTAAACCATGATGTTTTGATATTTTTTAATTATAGCATTCAATGGTAACACGTTTTAATAATCTAAGGTAAAAATTTGAACTCTCTACTAAAATATGACGCTGATTTATGTTAAAATAACTGTTCTTACTCGCATCATTTAGTTTTTAAACGTCCATAACTCAGAAGTGTAGTTCTGTGGAATAGCTCCATTACCTTCCAAGGCGACGATATATATATATATATATATATATATATATATATATATATATATATATATATATATAGATATGGTGTTGATGTACTCCTTATAATTAAAGCTGTAAGATCACGTAAAATAGGTGCATAGTGGTCTACTACGTATTTCTTAAATTTTATTACTAGATCATTTTATAAAACTTTAAAATGAGAGTTGCATTCAGAGCTAAATATTCTTTTACTATAGCTTGCAACTTCGGATTTTATATATTTACGCGACAAAGATTATTTTTACGTCAATAAAAACAAATACTACTGATTCTATGCGTTCAATTCTCAATATTCCATTAGCTTTAATTCTACTAACAATTAAAACCCGGTAACCCAGATTATACGTGGCACGTAACTCTAGCGCTGAACGAAACGTGGAGGGGATAGCTGCGAATATCGTATGAACGATACGCACAGCCAATCATACGCAATAATGCGCAATATGGCCAATTATGAGAAATACCAGTAAAATTTTATAGATCTAAATAGATTGTGGTATAAACATCTCCCATATGCCAATCGAAAAATGTCTAGACTGGCAACGGGTAGAAGTGACAAAGTTACAAGACGTCTGGTACTGCGCTCTTCAACTGAGTGTACCGATTAAGGAAAATTATCGCTACAATGAGAAACTCGTTGCCAAAAAGAAGAAGTTTGGGTTAACTGTGACTTAAGAAACAATTTAACCTTACCGTGACAACAATTGCAGTGTCAAATTTTGTGCAAAAATATCGAAATTCGCAGTAGAACCAGAGTAATAACAATAGCCTAACGGAAAATTAAGCTGAAGTGGCAAAGTGCCTACCATATATCTCGAAGAACCGAAAACCGATCGAAAAGAAAAATTCTCGAGTGGCAGCCTCGTACCGGTAGGTGAAGTATAGAGCGGCCTCCCACTAGATAGAGTGATAACCTGGTAAGACGTGCAGGAAGTCGATGCATGAAAGTGGCTCAGGACCGTGCTTTGTATCCTTCCTTTGGGGAGGCCTATGTGTAGCAGTGGACTTGTGAAGGGCCGATATGAATGAATTAATGCAAAAATAAACTCAACTATCATATTTACCGTAAAACCTTCCGCTCTCTCAAGTATATAGCACATAGATAGCACTCGCCTGCAGAAAGACGACATTTGAAACACCTGATGGTGAGCAAACTGCATATCTGCTGTAGACATCTTCCCGCCGTTGTTGTCCTAAAATATTTAACACAACTAATTTATGTTTTTAAAGTTGCGTATATTATTAGTGAAATGAGAATAATAAACCAACAGTTTTTACTATTTACTTATTTGACACTTCATTATTTTCAAACGTTGACATACTTGCGAATAAGATTGAATGGCTCGTTAGCAGTAAAAGTACTCGTAGGTCCCAGATTCTCGTCATTTATTATACGAAACTCAACAGGTTTATGCGCGATATTTTATGTAAAATATAAAATTGGAGATAAAATACATAAATTCATACATTGTAGCCTATCAAAAATTCACTGCTGAGTATTGGTCTCCCCCATATATTATCCAATAAAAAACCGCAGTTTTTTATTAATTTGCGTTATCATCAGGAAAACTGCCATTTGCGGTGTTATAATATACACTACCTCATATCATCCTTTGGGTGTCGTAAGAGGCGGGAAACTAAAACAGAAGATGGGCAGCTGCATCTTCCTTATAACAACTCAAAATAAAAAAAAACTGCGGTTGCCAGCTCGCCCGCCAAACATGGCAACTCCTATGTTCAGCAGTGAACTTTTAAGGGCTGTTATGATAACCAGGAAGATGCTGCTTGTCGTCTCCTGTTTCATTTTATTCCCTCGCTCCTTACCACACCCACAGAGGTAAATAAGGTAATGTTTCTTACGACACACAGAGGGGTAAATAGACAGCTCTACACAACGAAAATACGGAAGATATCCGAAGACAGTGAACAGTGTCCAACCTTCCCGCCATACATAGTATTTAGGACAAATCCTTTGTACAATGCAAGCGACCCATGTCCAGAAGTAGATTGTTACGATTGAATAAAGTAGCAGAAAGAAAAACGGGAAAATTTCTAACCTCAAACACAAAGACATCCGCTTCCCATTGACTTTGAGCCAAGTCTTCAGCCCTTGCCCACCCGTGGAGGCGTTTTCTTACAGATCTTGGTAATGGTTGTATTTGATCGTCTATCCACACGTGATCTAATTGTGCCTTTAAACCACCTTTACTCATTTTTAACGCAGTTTTGAAAGCTATTGGTCCCTTTAAACAGATAATAAATATTGCTGTAGCATGTCAATATAAAAAGCTTTGAAAGCTTTCGTGTTACTCGTAAGAAAAATTCGCTAATACCAAAATTCTATGAAATTGAAAAAAATACAAACCAATCCCCAGTAGTCTGTCGATAGTTCATTATCCCTAAACTCTCTGAAGGGGCATTCAGACATGCTTACTTGAATATCTAAAACACTGTCTATCTGTTTAGACGTTTCTAAACGTTTTTCACCTCGTAATACCTAGATTATTATGTATTTCGAGTTTACCCACTAATTTACGCTCCTTACGTCTATCTAACTAAGCTTTGGCATAAAAGTGACACATTATTGACATTTTAAATAACAAGCAAATATATTTGATAATTTTATCTGGATTTCGCTAATGTTATTAAAGGTTTTATATGTAGCTTAGTATATTCTTTAACTGCCTTGATAGTCTAGTGGTCATAAGCTTGACATTTTGTCATGTTGTTTGGGATTCAAATACCAGGTCATGCCATACAAATAGTATTTTAGTTTTTCTATAAATAAATTCACAGTAACAGCCCGACTCAGAAATTTGCTGATATTTCGACAACGTTGTACCTCTATATTGGAGATCCACATTACTAAGAAGGACTTTGTTGAAACTTTTTGGGGCTAGACTTGAACAAATCTAGTGGACAGCTGTAGAGTCCTAAAGGCTTGCTCACCTGAGTTGTCTTATGTGTTGAAAAGTTTGTTTTGCCTCTCATTTAGGAATGGAATTACCCAAATCCTGGAAACTGGCCAATGTGCTGCCAGTGCCCAAAAAGGCTGTCATGTCGACCCTGCCAATTATCGAAAAATCTTAATTACTTCTATACTCTGCAACGCCAACAACATGACATACCTAGGAAAGAAAGAGCTTCTAAGCAACTAGCGGCGGTACGGGTTTCACCATAATCAGTCCTGTTGACTGATGATTTTCTACCGCATGCTACTCAAATATGGGGCGAGGTAAAGACGAAAATACGGAAACAATTCCTGTTTAATTTGATGCTTCGTAGACCTTTGACAAGGTTTGTACGAAAGTTTTAGTCAAGATTTCAGCGTACGGCTTTTTCCCTGGTCTGACCAGATAGATGAAGGACTTTTTAGTAAATGGCCCCCCCGAGAGGTTGTCATAGGCGGCTCTTCCAAAAATATGACGTTTAGCGCCGGAGATCTTCAGGGAATTTTCCTTGCATCACATTTCGCGATACATATCAATGACCTGCAAATGCCTGGTACTTATGATTACGCAGAAGTTAACATAGCTGTGAAGAGCTCAATAGCAAATAATAGCTCGAGCCAGTCGAGATTAAATCCGGTCCGAAACTGAAGCTATGGTTGAGCAAGTGAATCTCACTGTAATTAGTCTACAAATAGCGTGATGCCAATCTTGTGAGATTTAATGCCTAGGTCTCCTTGAAAAGATGAGGCGATATTTTAAGCCAGGACAGTTGTTTATCCGTGCATGGAGATAGCGGCCTTGGGCTAAATGAAAAGGCATGTTAAGGGTTCATTCATCATCATCACCGTCATCTTTATTAGAGCTCACAAATCCAATGCTGAACATAGTCCTCCCCCAAGGGATGTTATAAGAACGGTCCTGAACTGCCTGGATCCATCCACTTCTTGCATCTCTTATCAGGTCATTACTCCATCTAGTGAGGGGCCGTCCTACTTTTCGTTTAATTGTACAAGGCTTGGCTTTAAAAACACAAGCTGAATCATTCTTTTTTAGTACGCAAGAGTCTCACGACCTATTTCATGCTCTCCTTTCCATCATCGGACAAACAGGCACTCGTCTCGTCTCCACCTTTTTACATCTTTTTATACTACATACCACATATTTCAACCAAACTATTTTTTTTTTGGTCATTCGTTATGCGAAGCGCAAAGGAGTGAAATAATTTGCTAAGCTAGTTCTTGTTAATCTCTACATGTGACTAGGACCATAAAAGACTACCGTTACCGTTTCAGTAATTCACTGCTGAATATAGGCCTCCTATATATATATATATATATATATATATATATATATATATATATATATATATATATATATCAACAGTCAAGGGTTTAGATTTACAACTGGACCCGGTAGGTGGCGCTGTTGTCGTGATTCAGAAATAACTCGAACAAAGCCGGGACGGACCACTAGTTAAATTATGGTAAAAATCAAAGTACAGATTTTCTGCTTGCTTGTTTTCCCTTGTTGTATATTGTTTCAAATTATTACTTCCTTCTTCCTTTCTTAAGTCAACATAGTGAAAGATGTACGACAAGATAATGATCCTTAGTATTTCGTCGTAAAATGCTTCTTCTTATCTTATCATCCCTTGTAATAAGTGAGATATAAAAGACAAATTGTTTGTAAAGATGTTTTAATAAATACTTAGAAAAAGTACACGTTGCAATCTTGAAAAATGAAGCAATCACATCAGCGAGCATGTATTCGGTTTTTGTGACGCTTGGCCGTTATTCAACGCTTGCTTCTGGTTGTTTTTATGTGTCACAAAAGAGGATTTATTTCTAGTAAGTACCTACCTACCTACCTACCTAACCTAATGAAAAACTTTTTAAAAATACTTTAATTGAAGGTTGACTTTAATAAGTAATTTTTATTTATACTTAACTTAAGCACTTTGAAAATATAGATAGAATATAGTATAGTAGTTGTCATGTAGAAAAACTGGCTTTGTGTTCACGAGCTTCGTAAAAAGATAAGGAGGCAGGCGTTTTCCCCGTAAGACTATTGGCGAAGCTAGAGCAGCTGACGTATGCGAAAGCGTTTTCATGACCCTGGCAATATGTGGCGATGGTAGAACACCTTGAAATTTTAGTGTATATGTCGGACTCCGGACTTACTCCTGCCCTTACGAGACGAGTATATGCAGCCATTCCTCCTGTAAAGAAAAAAGTTAAAAAATGTAGATTCCTTCAAATTTAATCTGAATAAACTCGTTACAATACGATGTTTAAAAATAAGATTAATAACTTTATGCTTTTTTAATAAGAAACTACTACCATTATCGCACAGATTTTCTTCTGTTCCTAAATGGATTTTCCATAATATGTTGACATACATTAACAAAACTAAATAATATTTTACTACAATAATATACTATTCTAAACGAAATATCTCAAAATAGACATTGTAAAACAGTTCCATATAATTTACTAAACATCACCATAACTAACCATAACGCATTACAAGTACCTTGTCTACATTCTTTCAACGAGCAAGACGTAAAAAAATTAAATTTATTTAATGCCTGCCATTCACGATCTACGATCCAGCGTTGCCTCCAGACGCTCTTGTTTAATTTTCTTTAAAAGCTTTTGTTCTCGTGAATTATGTCATCGTCGAATTACACGGAACTAACGACCTTGCTCGCGATGTTGGGTATAAAATTAGTAGTTAGTTGTTGTATTTGAATATTTTCGTCTTTTATAATTTTACATTTAGGTATTTAATTTTTATATCATCTTTTGATAAAACGTTATCGTGATAATTTCTAATCACCAGTATGTTGATTTTTTTTAAATATATGCGATAGTGATAAACGAAGCAACAATCCACAACATGATGGTAAGTTTTAACGTAGAAGAGCCACGTTGCAGCTTTATTAGCGTTGCAACACGAATGGATCGACTAGACTGGGGAAGGAGCACATTCTCATAGAATACCAGTGTAAACTGGCAGCTTAATGCTGCTGTATTTCATTCGGTGAGCTTAGAGAACCTGAGCCTTTTACTGTTAACGAGGAATTGCGTCTTAGTCCTTATGGGTGATAATGTATCTACATTTTGATTCTTAATACAAGATAGATGTGTATAAGTGACAGCATCCATTAACAGATATACTTTCTACCCGTTTATCACACTTATTCTATAAAATAAACAAAGAAAGCTACAGATGCGTCGTCACTTTTTAGAAGAAAGATGAAGTGCCTCATAACTCACAGCTCGCAATTACACTATGTGCACTGGTGTCTTGAAATATTTAAGAGTTTGGTTAGTTCTTTCTGAAACTAAATTCCAATACGTAGCAAAATTAGATTTTAAATGATATCCCAAAATCCTGTAATCCGTATTATATTCGCGACCCAATCGCGCTACAATCATAATATAGCTACGGTGTGAATCTCACGTGAATGATGAATTTTTCAAAAAACAATAAAACTTTAAAGAAAACTTATTAGTTCCAATTTTACACGCTAATATGCAGCTCTGCTTGTTCTCATCGAGATTTAAAACATTAACAACATGAACAACAAAAATAATCTACGTTTACTTACTACTACATTACCATTATTTTTGCACTTGAATAGGCAAACTCAAACTCTAATTCTAGCGTCTTTCGAATCAGTGTGATCATGTGCAGTGAAAGCCATTGAACGAAAGTCTCTGATGCAATAACTTTGATATTACTTCCCCAGCTCACAAAGAATAATATTTAACAGATGGTAACATTCCAAATACTGTCAATACCTAATTGTTATCATTCATTCATTACAGCCCGTCGTTCACTGCTGGACATAGGCTTCCTCATAGATTGCTTCACAGGGGGATTTTGCCATTTTTGCCACGCTTGCCAGGCGAATCGGCAATCAGAGTTTTTTATAATTTTAAATTGTTGGCAGCAAGATGCTGCTGCCCATCATCTGTTTCAATTTCCCTCAGTCGGCCTCTACGACAGCAACCGAACGACATGAGGTTGTGGATATTCTTACTCCGCCATTACACGATCTATATCTCAAATACATATTATAATCTATGGTGTCCATCGGGCTTGACATAGGCAGTATGAACGTAAACAATGTATGTTTACATTCATTTAATTTGAAAATATTTTTATTCCCCGTGGTATAGTGCCAAGAACACTGGCTTCGTTTTCTTGCTGGATGAAACTTAAGGCGACACCTTGATAAAATGCACCTCCTTTCA